TCTCATCATCCCTGCTGATGCATCCAACCACCGCAGAGTCATCAGAAAACTTCTGAAGATGGCAGGTCTCTGTGCAGTGGCTGAAGGGTGAAGAGGAAGGGGGAGAGGACAGTCCCTTGTGGTGCGGGGACTGATTACCTTGTCAGACACACACTGTGAAGGATGCACATATTGTGGTCTTCCTGTCAGGCAATCAACAATCCAGGACACCAAAGAAGCATCCATCTGCATCGCTGCTAACTTATCACCCAGGAGGGTCGGCCTGATGGTGTTGAAAGCACTGGAAAAGTAAAAAAACACATGACCCTCACAGTGCTCGCCGGCTGGTCCAGATGGGTGTAGACACGATTAAGTAGGTAGATGATGGCGTCCACGGCTCCGAGGCATGGCTGGCAAATTAAAGGGGATCCTGATGTGGTCTGACTATGGGTCGGAGCTATTCCAGGATGATGGGAGGTCAGTGCCACAGGCCTGTAATCCTGGGGGCCACTGGGACGTGGCGTCTTTGGTACAAGGACGAGGCAGGATGTCTTCCACAGCACTGGGAGCCTCTTCAGACTCAGACTCAGCATGAACAGTTTATGGGAGACTCCACAAAGCTGGGGGGGGACAGGACTTGAGGACGTGGGGGCTCACCCCGCCTGGTCCAGCAGACTTGCCTGAGTGGAGTCTCCTCATTTGCTTCTGAACCTGGTCATCAGTGAAAGTGTTGGGGCAGGGAGGGGTGTCAGGATTCTCATCGGAGGCAACATGTGAAAAGAGAGGCAGGTACAGCGGTGTGGCTCTGGATTTCAGGCTGACTGCAGGTGAGGTAGTAGGATGTGTGAGCTGCCCCTGCAGTGCCAAATCTGTTTTTACATGTTTCATTCTTGCAGTTTCACAGCATCAGGCCCTGATTGTTGTTCCTCAGTTGAGTTTTCACTTTGAAAACCATCAAACACTTGAGATTCACACGTGTTTGTTTGTTTGTTGCAGGAGTTTCGCTCTGAATCCTGACCTCCTCTTTGTGCTTCGGTGGCTTATGAGGCCATAAATTGGTCACCGTGGCGACCAGCAGGATTATTGAAAGTCCCTCGTCTGACTTTGAGGTCAGCCGTCACTGTTAGTGTTTATCTCATATTATGTCACATCTAAAATCCTGTGTAAATATGAATGAATGGTGATTAAATTAAACAGATAAAATGTTTTTCCAGTGTTCACCATCACTCTGCTCTGCAGCTGGTCTCCTTTTCCACTCTGCGGTCACTTGATGTTGAAGAGGTGAGTGTGTTAGAGGAAAAGTTAATGTCAGGTTTAGTCTGTATGCACTCAGAGGTCATTTGTACCTGCTGCTGCTGCTGCTGCTGTGGTTGTAATGATGTAAACCCTGATTGGTTGGATAGTTTGAGTGACAGCAGTTACTGAGGCAAAGCAGAACAGCTGCTGATCCTGAGCTACTCTTACAAATGGAAGATCAGTGAAGAGCTTCCCTCACACAGCATATCCTCTATTGCACATGTGTCAAAGTCAAGGCCCGCGGGCCACATCCAGCCCGG